TACTGTAGCTATAGTAAAATCATTAAGGAAAGTGTATTTGAGGCACCAACAATGACTCTTGATACAATTTTTATTTTCAACAGCATTTATTAAGTATCTGTTGTGAACCCAGCCCCATAGTTTCTAGGGGGATTCAAGAAAACTTGCAGACAAGTTGATTTCACTTTTTTTTAGCACCCACTCTGTTCTAGGCACTGTTCCAGTTGCTTCCATATACTAACTCACTCAATCCCATTATACCCATTTTATAAATGAGGAAACTAGGGCATGGAGAGATTTAAGAAACTTGCTGAAGTCACACAGCTTGTAAATAGTGGAACTGGACTTCAGAACTGCCTAGTCATTGCTAAGCTCAGTTTATTTATTGAGTCCCTGCTATTGGCAAGGGGTTGAGTTGGATTATTTCTAAGACTCATTCATTTATCAGGTACTTACTGAGTACCTACTATATGCCAGAGGATAGCGGAATAAATAAGACGAAAGTCTCTACTCTTGTCAGTCAGTCAGTCAGTCAGTACATAATAAGTTTTCAGATAGTGATAGTCTTTGACTAACATAAAGCCAGGGAAGGGGCTGGAAAATGATAGAGGGGTGCAGGGATATTTTTAGATTTTGTGGGCTGAGAAAGCCTGAGTCGTGTCATTTGAGCAGAAACCTATTTGAAGAGAGAAGCCAACCACATGGAATGTGAGGGGAGAAGAGTGATCCAGGTAGAGCGGGCAGCAAATACGGAAGCCCTGAGGCCTAAATGAGCCAAGACTTGTGCATCTGGAGCAGGATGAGCTAGGGGGAGAATGTCAAGGATGAGGTCAGGGAGAGTGATGAGGTCCCATTGGCCCTATAGGTTATGGGATGGAGTTTGGATTTGATTCTGAATGCGATTGGATGTCTTTGAGAGTTTTGAGCAGGAGAGTGACAGACATGCTTTGATTTTTCAAAGAGCTCTCTGGCTGCAGGGTAGAAGCCTGACTATAGGGTAGTGAAAATGAAACAGGAGGCTTTTGTGTTGAGCCAAGGTTTCTCTCACTTCTTGCATTCTGTAATTCATGTTGGTCAGAAAGGTGCTGCCGTTCCACAGCACCTGCTCTAGAACTTAGGTCTCTTAGCGAAGCACACCTCCTGCTAGAGGACTCTGATCCCTGACCTTTTCCTCCTAAGATTCTCATATTTTCCTTCCACCTTTACTTCTCTTGGGGACTGTATCTTGAGGCGGAGTCACTTGGGGCATAACTTGTATTAAGACCCTCAGGGAAATGTTAGCTTTCCTTGATTGGCTTTAAAAACAGAAGCTTTGTGTTTACCCAGAAGGATTTATGGCCAGATAATGGAGCTATGGGGTGTTGTTGGGTTGGAAAAAGCCACACAAAAGGCATTTGGCTTGATAAGAACCTTGAACTCAGAACTAGAAACCTGGGTTCAGCTCTTAGCATAGCGATGACTAGCTTCATTTGGACTCGATACCTGACCTTTCGGAGTTTGCCTCCTTCTCGGTAGAGACGTTATCTGTCTTGCTAACCTCACAAGGCTGCCCTGAGCTGCGATGAAATAAGAACATGGAAGCATTGTGTACATGTGTGCCATGGAAAGCCCAGCTGGTGGGGTCCAGTTTTAGGAAATTGTAGACATTTGTAAGTCACCGGCTATTTGTATGTGCTTACGTAATGGCCCGTGAAACACCTGATAGTAAGGGTGGGAGCGTTTCCCTGGTCACACAGTTCTTTTTTTTTTAAAGATTTTGTTTATTTGATAGAGAGAGACACAGCGAGAGAGGGAACACAAGCAGGGGGAGTGGGAGAGGGAGAAGCAGGCTTCCCGCCGAGCAGGGAGCCCGATGCGGGGCTCGATCCCAGGACCCTGGGATCATGACCTGAGCCGAAGGCAGACGCTTAACGACTGAGCCACCCAGGTGCCCCCCTGGTCACACAGTTCTAGGTGGAAAGACTCTTCAGTGTGATAAGATCTGTTTGCCTGACTCTTCCCTCCCCTCGCCCCACCCCAGTGACCTGACTTGAGAACAAGTTAACTTCCCGCTGTCTGGCCGAGACATCTCCAACCTTTGTGTGAGCTCTTTTTGGAAAGTTATTGGCAGAGGTCCCCAGAGCAAAAGTCAGGTGAGTTGGCTTGGAGCCATTGGGAGACCGGCACACAGACAGACAGACAGACAGACAGACACGCGTACACACACACACACACACACACACAGGTAAACGAGGCACAGTCATAGTTGTTGGGGACTTGCGGTGTTTGTGGATGTTACATAAATGATTAGAACTGTGAAAACTGCTTCAGTGGGAGTATCTTCAAAGAACTGAGAAGATTGACTAATTTTGTCAGGGGGCAAATCAAGGAATGATTCCAAGAGGAGGGGGCATTTGAGCAGATTCCAGTGAGATACTTGGAGACCACTACGTAAGAAAGACGGGTGGCTTTGCAAGCAAAGGTGAGGGGTATGAAACAGCATGGTGGGTTCTGGAACGGATGCCATGAGAAACAAGGCTGGTAAGATCCTTCAAGGCCAGACGGTGCAGAGCTGCTGTGGGTGGCTTAGCTGACTAAAGATTTTGAGTTCTTCCTTTCTCTTGTGCGGTGTTCAGCCATGGCTAGAGCTGATTTGAGGCCCCACGTGCTAGTGTTGATGAAATGTAAGCAAGGCTGGGCCCCTGCAGTGCCTAGCGTGGTGCCTTGCCTGAGGTCGGTGTTTAAACATTACATACTGAAATGAGGGAGACACGATGGTGATCACGGAGTTCCAGAGGCGATGTCCTTGCAGACCCCCAGGCCCTGGGGCGTGGACAGTGCATGCCCAGTGGTGTCTGTCTGCTGACAGAGTGGTCAGATCAGCTGGACCCTGCTGCTGATGACCCTGCAGTCCTGTCTGCACTGAGGGCAGCTGCTGTGGGGTTTGACCAGCCCCCCGGCTGGGGAGAAGCGGAGAGTGGGCTCTCTTCCCACAAGTATCTTCTGTGAAAATGGTATCCATTCAGTAACTAAAATATTTTTGACATTGCGTAAATATGCATGTGATTAAATTCTCTGCAGTCAGTAGAAATGGAGACAAACGAAGGTGCCTTATCTGTTTACTTTCCATCATCCACTGAGTGGGGGGGACATTGCCCTTGACTCCAGACCATACTTCCCTCTACCTTGTCACAGCCCTCTTCCCAGATGTCCCATGATCAGCTAGAGCTCATGGATGTGACTGCTGGGTTGACCTCTCATTTTCTCTGTGTTCTCTTATCTGGGAGCTAAGTCAAATCCAACCTACATACAAGAAGAGAATTTAGGGAAAGCATCTCCCCACCTCCGACCTGTGATCTGATGACCTGTGATCAGATGACCTGTGATCGGATGGCCAAGAATGTTTCCAAGGCTTTTTCCATGGTGTCCTGTCACTTTCTTACCTTATTCCTGTCTTTGCCTCCTGATGAATTTACGGTGACATGCAGATGCATTCACATCTACTGCTAGACAGGGCTTTGTCTGTTATTAAAACCTAAAAACCAAAAAAGGTAAGACTGCACCTTTTTTGGATATTGTAGGAACGTAACTTAATCAAGTGACTTCCTCCTAAGGCCTAAAGAGAAAGAGGTCCATAATTCAAAAAATTTTTCCTTCTCTTTCCTTTCTGGCATTTGTACCTCTTCCCCCGCCCCCCCCCCCCTTGTAAAGCTTTTATATTGTGGACATATCTACACATACACAAAAGAGGAGGGAACTGGTGTCATGAACTTGCAAGTCCCAGCTTCAGCAGTTAGCAACTTCGGGGCATATCTTGTATCATTTATATCCCCGTCTATGTATCCTTCATTATTTTGAAGCAAATATCACACATCCTGTCATTTCATCCATGAATATTTTATTTTTTTATTTTTATTTTTTTTAAAGATTTTATTTATTTATTTGAGAGAGAGAATGAGAGAGAGAGCATGAGAGGGGGGAGGGCCAGAGGGAGAAGCAGACTCCCCGCAGAGCAGGGAGCCCGATGCGGGACTTGATCCAGGGACTCCAGGATCACGAGCCGAAGGCAGTCGCTTAACCAACTGAGCCACCCAGGCGCCCCTCATCCATGAATATTTTAGCATATATTCCTAAGAGATGAAGACTTTGTAAAATCATAATACTTTTATTATCATGCCTGATAATTCCTTAATATCATCCAATAACTGATCAATATTCAAATTTCCCAAATATCACAAAATCTGTTAATATTTTGTTTTAATCAGGATCTGCTGCAGTTGTTATAATAGGTCTCTTAAATTGCTTTGTATCTCTAGGTGCTCCTCTGTCTTTTTTTTTTATTCCTTGCAGTTCATTTATTGAAGAAACTGGGTCCTTGGTTCTCTTTAATTTCACACAGCGTGGGTTCTGCTGATTGCATCCTTATAGTATGGTTTAACATCTCCCTCACTCCTCTGTATTTCCTACAAATTGGTGTTGTGTCTAGAGATTTGTTCAGGATTCAGATCCAGTTTTTGGGCAAGCATGCTTTTTAGGTGGCGGTGTGAACTTCTTTCGGGAGGCACGTCATGTTTACTTGTCTCTTTGTGATGGTTGATTGAGTTTTTAAATGTGCCAAGTATTTAAGAGGGTTCAGATCTGTTAATGTGTCCCTGGGCCCAGGTGGTGGTCTTGAGAAAGGGGGAGAAAGAGAATGCTCTTGCGGTGTGCTCCTGGCATTCTCTCTCTGTTGAAGTCTGACGGTGGTGGGGGCTGTTAGGTTCTCTGTCCCTGAGCTGTGTGCATCTTGGAGGTTCCTTCAGTGCTTGCTGGAAGATGAGTCGGCATGAATTTGACGCAGAGCACTCCCATAGTTTGTTTCCCTCAGTCCCAGAAGACCTGTGCACTCAAGAAACACTTAGTAGGGAGAGGCTCAGTTTCTTTGAACGTTTACTTTTGTATGTAGAGGTGTTTCTTGGTTTGGCTACACAAGGCACTTTTGCTGATGTTCTCCAGACAGTGTGTTTTCATTTAATTGTAAGGTGACTCTTTCCTTCTTTCAGGATCTCATTTTGCCCAACGGTGGTACTCCAGCAGGTACTTCGAGTCCAGCTTCTTCATCTTCCCTTCTCAACAGACTTCAGCTTGATGATGACATCGATGGCGAGACCAGAGATCTCTTTGTCACAGTTGACGACCCCAAGAAGCATGTCTGTACGATGGAGACCTACATTACGTATAGGATCACCACCAAAGTAGGTCCCTTCATTATCTTCTGCCCCTATTGAACGGTCTTGGTGAACTGGAGACCTGCCACCTGATTCCTGCCTTGGTTTCTCCCTCCCTTTGTAGGACTCGGTTCACCTTCATTCCAATGGTGGGTGTGGCTTTTTGAGAGACTAGATGTATTCAGATTAAAAGGATTCTATGTGAATTTTTTCCTTTAAAATGAAGGAGAAATTGTGACTATAGTCTTTCAAATAAAACATTTAATCCCTCTACTTTCATTATTTTTGGTCATAATACTATTTAACAAGTTAATATTACATTACTATTGAAATTTATGCATCATTGTATCATCCTAAATCTCTGGTGAGACCATGGTTGTAATTTGGTGTAATTGGAATGGATCATAGGGGGAGCGAAGTAAGAGAAGGATGGGAATGAAGGTTGATTGCCTTTCTGCTATGGGCCACACGGGTAGTGAAGCAGGGGGCTGAGATTGACTGGCTTAATGTTCACACCGACCCTCAAAGGTAGATCTTGTGGTTACAGTTTTAGAGATCAGGAAACTGAAGAAGAAACTTTAAGTAACTTGTTCATGGTTACAAAGTTGGTAACCAGGATTCTAACTTGAATTTTTAAGGACTGTCAATCCAACATTTTTATTTTCAAACCCATACTCTTTAACCTAATTCCACTTATTGTATTTTTTTTAAAATTTTATTTAATTATTTGTCAGAGAGAGAGAGAGAAAGAGCACAAGCAGGGGGAGCGGCAGGCAGAGGGAGAAGCAGGCTCCCTGCTGAGCAAGGAGCCCAATGGGGAACTCGATCCCAGGATCCTGGGATCATGACCTTAACCAACTGAGCCACCCAGGCATTCCAACCTAATTCCACTTATAAAAGAATAACTTTAATGTGTCATTTTTTACTTTGGAAAATTATTTTCTCAATATTTAAAGTAGCATTACAATTTTAGGTTTTGAGCAGGGTTTCTCATCCTTGGCAGCAATGACTTTTTAGATTGAATAATTCTTTGTTGTAGGGGGTGTCCTCTGCACTGTAGGGTGTTTACCAGCACCCCGACCTCTACCCAGTAGATGCCAGTAGTACCCCCCCCCCAGCCCTCGGTGGAGACAACCAAAATTGTTTCCAGACATTGCCAAATATTCCCTGGGGGGACAGTGTTACTCCTGGTTGAGAATCACTGATCCAGAGGAAGAATAACAATATTTACACTATTAGGAGAAAGTATACACGATCACTTTACATATATTAATCTATGTGTATACTTCTAACTTGTGTTACTTGATTACCAATTTATGATAAAAGGATATGGTAAAAAAGAAGCCCAAAATGGAGTCGCTTGCCCCCCACTACAGCAAACCAAGACTGATTTACAGTTTCAACCTATCCTAGAGTCATCACTTTGTATTTTTGAATAAAGAAAGTGTTTTATTCAGGAAACCATCCTGTTTGTGATATCCCCCCTCCACCACAGGCCACATGATGAAGAAGGATTTACAGATATTTTTAGAAGTTTTAATAGATTGAGGGCACCTTAGTGGATGGTATTAAGAGAGATATTTATGAACATCTCTTCTGTGCCTTTTCTCTTTTTCATTGCAGAAGTTAATTTTTCACTTGAAAATTTAGTAGGTTCTGTAAACTCAAATTTTGTTTCTTCATCTTTTATTGGATGACAGTGCTGTATTTTAAAAATTATGCAAGTATTATAAATGCTTTATTGTGAACAATAAAGTAAATGATGATAAAGACCAAATACAAGTCTTCCTTAGCCTTCTTCACTTATGTTGTTCTCGCCAAAAGCAACCATTGCTAAAATTTGGCGTATATCCTTCCCATTCTTTTTTTGTGTTCACATATGCACATACATAGTTAAAATATATATAATTCAGATTTCTGTAATTTTTTTTTTTTAAAGATTTTATTTATTTATCTGTCAGAGAGAAAGCACCAGCAGGGGGAGAAGCGGGCTCCCTGCTCGTGGGACTCTATCCCAGGATCCTGGGATCATGACCTGAGCCGAAGGCAGACGCCACCCAGGCCCCCCTGTAATATTGTTTTCTAACCTTCCCCTCTACAGTATTTTTGAAGACCTTTCCATGTTCATATGAATAGAGAGCTTAGGTTTTCAATATCTGCCTAATTATTTATGCAATGATTATACAGTATCTTTTCTCTATGGACATGTAAGCCTTTCTCAGATATTTCTTTGATATTCCTACCCCGTCCTTTCTGCATCTGGTTCACATTTGAAAACTTGTCTGTGTATGTGTGCACACGCACGTGCACGCACGCCATCTTCCACCATCCCCCGGGGCCCCTGGGTCCCTGCTTCCCAGGCATTGGGCTAGGCACTTAGATGTATGTTAAATCCTCAGAGGTCCTAGGTTGATACCTGTATTCCCATGAATTATTTCCACTCCCTCCCCCTCCCGCCCCCAGGGTCAACTTATTTTTTTACCCTGTGGTCAGCGAAATGCAAAACCTGTTTTTCTTGAATTTATGCTCCAAAGAGCTGAAGGACAAGGTGACTGCTTCCCTGGCACAGACGTGCTTGCTTACCTGCACAATTTGCCGCCTCCCCCCCCAACCTGATTCCTCTGCTCTTCAGTGGGCCTCCCCTGCCTCGCCCACCTCCCGCAATGCTAATCCCGCAGGACCTCTGTTCTCCGAGTCACAGGCTGACACACGTGCTCCCCTGTGCCTCTTCTCTTTCCTTCCTTCCTCCCTCTTTCCCCCCAGTGTTCTTGTTTCTGTCCCTTCTTCCTGGGGTTGATATCCTATAAGTCAGAACTTCTCCCACTTCTGATTCCACATTTTCCCTTGGCTGGGATACCACCACCTCTTGGTGAACTCGTTGCAGAATTAAGTTTTACTTCAAACTGGAGTCCTTTTCTTTTCCCATTGCAGGTAGCGACGCCAGGTTTAATATTCTTGGGGGTGCATTTGGAACCTTCTTTCTGAACATTGCAGTAAAGCATAGCTACACATCCCTAGGTAGTGACACAGCCTGTGGTGTGTGGGGATGAGAGGGAGAGGACACACAGAACACGGGGTCTCACACACCGATCTTGCCCGGGGGCCCCCTGCTTCTGCTGTGGTTCTCTAGCAGAGTTAATGGTCACAGGAAGAGATTGTGCAAATAGTTTATTACTTTGAGCTTTGACTCCCCTGTCCTAATTCAGATTTCTGATGACCAAAGCTGGACAAAGTACAGAGCTGCTTTTGCCTGAGCTAAAATGAACCTAGGGCTGAGAGCCAGTGTGGGCAAAGCATTCTCTACCCAAATCTAAGTCATGGGTGTCTTTCCTCTCTAGTGGTGGGGGGTCAGCCCAGCCTCCTCAGGGCAGGCGGACCCTGGCTCTTTTCTCTGCGGGCTCCTAGAAAGTATCATCATCATAATAGCTAATTACTGAACACTTACCATATGCTTGTACTTTTTGGTCATAGAAACCTTTTCTTTTATATTGTATAAGTAATATGAGCTTATTGTAGAGAAGCTAGCAAACTCAAGGAAGCTAAAACAATAAAATAAAAGAACACCAATAAGCTCACCAGCCAGAAATAATCATCTATAAATTTCTGAACTGTTGGTCTCTGTCCATTTACAAAAATGAGTATTTTGTATGCTGCCCATTCACTTCATGTGTTGGGCATCTTTCTGTGCTAGTAAATGCCAGCAAGCACACCTTTATGTTATCATTTTTTTTTAAAGATTTATTTATTTACTTGAGAGAGAGAGCGAGAGCTCGGGGAGGGGCGGTGGGGAGGGGCAGAGGGAGAGAGAGAACCTCAAGCAGACTCCCTACTGAGCGCAGAGCCTGACTGTGCTATCATTTTCTAAGACTGCGACAGTGTTCTGCTATATGGATGAGCCATCAATTTATTTTGTGCTTTAAATATATTGTCAGTTAATCCTCACACTCAATGAGGCAGGTACTGGTGGTGGTTTTCCTTTGTGGATGAGGAAGCTTGAGACACAGACCTACTAAGAGAGTTACTCCAAAACATGCAACTGATACGTGGCGGAGCTAGGACTTGAATCCGGATCTGTCTGTGGCCGTTCTTCCAACAAGGCGTGATTTTCAAGAGAGGGATGCTTCTGCCCCCCTGCCCCCAGCACTGTGCTCGGTCTACTGCCTGGCCTTTAGGAGCCATCCTCCTTCCTGTCTCTTACCCCACCTCCTGAGTAATCCCAAGTCTTGTGCCGCAACTAGCTCCTCTTTTTAGATGCCTCTGTGGCTAAACACCACTCAGAGGTCAAGGATGCATAAGGATTACAAAGCGAACGTTTAGATTTGATGACAAGAGGGTTGTGGATGACTGCGGTTGGCGCAGTCCCACTGGGGTGCTGGGCAGAAGCCGGTGTGCTGTGGGGTTTGAGTGAGTGAGCAGGAAGACGAGACATGAGTGTTGGTGGTTTGGCCGTGAAGTGAGAACAGGAACTGGAGGAAGTGTGGATTTGGGCTGGAGGGCGGACTTTTTGTTTGGTTTTAAGGATGGACAGGACTTGTGTGAGCGCCCAGAGGCCAGCGTTGCTAGAGAAGGAGACGTTAAGGTGAGACTAGAGGAGGATGGAAGCCGCTGAGCAGGGGCGAGGGGAGTAGCCTGAGCAGAGGTGGAGGTAGCTCGAGCCTCCAATGGGGGAGGCGTACTTCTTCCATTGTTTCTAGAGGTAGAGGGGAAGTTTTTGTTTTACTTTGTTTTGTTCTTTGTGGCAGGAAGTTGAGGGTTCTGTGCTTCTAGCTGCAGTTTTCTCTAGGAATAGATGATGAGGTCTTCTGCTAAGAGCAAACAGGAGGTTTCAATGTGAGGCTGGGAGGTTTTCAGGACTTCTACAGGCTTTGCATTAACCGGTGTGGAAAATGAAGGAGAGAGTTGACAGAGGAAGTATGCGAAGATCGCTTGGCAATGTTGAGGGTCCAGTGGAAGATTTTAGTGTGTCACTTAGTGTTTTGCCTGTTTTGTTTTCCCTCCAGGAGTGTGCTCACACACGCGTGTGGCCG